TCTTCATATCAAATTCCTTCAACTTTGTGTCCTTTTAAAGGGCCAATTTCCATGACTATAGTAGCCGAAAATGTCTACTCATTGATGGATTGAAGTAAGGTAGCTTCACTTCGTCTGTAGCCTCCATTTAGAACAAGAATTCTTTTTTTTTACAGATTTTATTTATTTATTTTTAGAGGGGAAGGGAAGGAGAGAGGGAGAGAAATATCATTGTATGGTTGCCTCTCATGTTTCCCCTGATGGGAACTGGCCTGCAGCCCAGGCATGTGCCCTGACTGGGAATCGAACCGCAATCCTTTGATTCACAGGCCCATGCTCAATCCACTGAGCTACACCAGCCAGGGCTAGAACAAGAATTCTTTTTCCTGGTGCTGGAATTCTTGTTTCTATTTTTTTTTAAAAAAAGAATTTTTAGAAAGAGAGGAAGGGAGGAAGAAAGAGAGGGAGAAAAACATCAATGTGTGGTTGCCTCTCACACACCCCACACTGGAGACCTGGCCTGCAACACAGGCATGTGCCCCGACTGGGAATCCAACTGGTGACCCTTTGGTTCACAGGCTGGGGCTCAGTCCACTGAGCCACACCAGCCAGGGCAAGAATTACTGTTTCTAAATGAGTCTGGTCAAGGTTCAGCTCGTCTTCAGAACCGATCGTCTTCACAACAGCTGTATGTTAGTCAATGTTTCCTTAACAATGCCCTTTTTCTTGTGATATTTCTTTCCAAGTTTTTTGGTTATAATTTTCACGATGATTTCAGGCTGCAGCTCTTTTCTTTCCCTTTTTAACCCCATGATTTCATCAAGTGTGGATTTCTTTTTCTTTTTTCTTTTGGTTGAACTGAGCTCTGGAAACAGTGTTTCTGTTTCACTGATGCTACGGTCCCAATCGCCTTCAATGCACTTTGTCCCAAAGAAGTTGACTTGGACGATGCTGCTGTTGAGCTACACGCTCCTTTATTCAAATTAAATGTCACTGTCTCTTTGTTGTTTTCTCTGATTCTGTAAAAACGGGAGTCTCCTGTTCTTTCCTTTCCAGACTTCTTCTCACTTGCTCTTCAATAAATTTGGCAGTTTTTTCCTCGTCAAGGTCTCGCTTCTTCTTTTTCTCTAGTTCCAGTTGCCAGCAGATAGTTTCTGGGTCCCTATCTCTGCACTGAGTGTACTGGCTTTTCATGTCTCATCCACTCTGCACAAGCCTCCCCTGCCCAGCCATGTGGTGAAATCAGAGTCCCACTGAGTGGCATCCATATGACGTGCTCTCTGTGGTAGATGCCCTCATTATAAACCATGTCGTTGTGAACTCTTTGTGCCAAAGCGTCTCCTGAGAAGTTCTAGAAAGTCATTTCGAAATTGCTCTGAAAAATAATCCATAAACTGCTGAGGATTCTCTGAAGCCAGGAGAAGTTGTCTCTGATGTGATTGGGACATGCAAAGACATTTAAAGCCATTCTTGTCCCCCCACTGCTTCTGGCATATATGACAATACCAGTGCGGCTTCTGAAGCCTCTTGGATTTCATCCTGTTGGCGATGGCTGCAGGGGTAAGAAAATCTGTCTTCCCCACTGCGACCACAGCAGCAATAACTTCCTGGGGCTCAGCGGTCTGCCAGCGGAAAGCGGTAGAAAGGGGCTGGCAGGGATGGGCAGGACAGCTTCATCCCACCCCCACCACGCCTCCCAACTGCCCACTCCCATTGAATTTTTTCCTTACGGGTTTCCCTTACCTTGTCTACATCTTTATAAGTAGTTGCTTTACCATACTCACCTGAATTGCATCATTTGAATATACCTGTTGTTTCTAGATATAGCAACTTAGCCATTTATTCATCCCTTCATTAAAAAAAATTTATTTATTTTTAGGGAGAGGGGAGAAAGGGAAAGAAACATCACTGTCTGAGAGCAACATAGATGGGCCCCGTCTGGGGACCCAACTTGCAACCTAAGCATGTGACTGGGAATCAGCCCAGCAACCTTTTCGGTGCAGGTGTCGATGCTCCAACCAGCTGAGATACCCAGCCGGGGTTGGCGTGCATTTTAAACTGACAGCACATCTCAGTCCAGAATAGTCCCATTTCAAGTGCTCAATGGCCAGTGTTTATTGTGCTGAACTAAAGAAAAGGTCACTTTAGGGCCTACTAGTTCCTTTAAATTTTATTTGCCATCTGTTTCAGCGAGATGTTGGTTTAAAACAACTTGCACAGAATGTAGTTTCAGTATTTCTGTCAGGTGAGCAGTGACCTTTCAAGAAGTAAATTCCCGCCCTGGCTGGTGTGGCTCAGTAGATTGAGCACCGGCCTGTGAACTATAAGGTCACTGGTTTGATTCCCAGTCAGGGCACATGCATGGGTTGTGGGCCAGGTCCCTGGTTTGGGGCATGTGAAAGGCAACTAACTGATGTCCATCCACATCACATTGATATTTCTCTCCCTCTTTCTCCCCCCCCCTTACCCCTCTCTCTAAAAATAAATAAATAAAATCTTTTTTTAAAAAAAGTTAAATTCCCAGGAGTCAGAATATGGAAACCATTTAAACTAGTTACTTGAGCTTTGTCAGAATGACTGCCCTTGTGTTTTTTTCTTATTGTGTTATTCTATTTATAAGAAATGTCCAGGACAGGTAAATCCATGGGATGGAAAGCACATTGCTGGTTGGCTGGGACTAGGTTAAGGAGGGAATGGGGAATAACTGCTTAATGGGTGCATGGTTTCATTGTGCTGTGATGAAAATGTTTTGGAACTAGATGGGGTAGTGGCTTTACAAACACTGTGGGTGTACCAGATACCACCGAATTGTTCCCTGTGAAATGGTTACTTTTATGTGATTTTCACCTTGCTAAAGATAAATATACAGAATGCAAGAAAAAACTGTGAAGGCATGTATCAACCAAAAAAAAAAAAAAAGAAGCAAAAGATGTTTACATTCACAAAAACAGGAAAGGGTGGGGAGCAATCTGATGTCATGCACCATTACCACATTCACGCTGAGCTGTCCAAACCTAGTTAAGCCACACTTCTGTACCCTATGGGCCTACCTGCCAACCGGAAAGGTCACTGCGAGTGTTCTCAACATCTAACACAAAGACTAGAATTCCAGAATTACCTGGTAGTTCCCCTCTATTGGACATTTCCTCACTAGTTGGGGTCATAAGTTCAAGGGCCATATTTATGAACACAATTCTTGGATACCCACTCAGATAAATACCAAGCATATTACCAGAGCAATATGGACTTTGCTCAAAAGCCCAGGACATTTGGCCATTGAAACTACAGCTCTCAGTGACTCTAATACTAAAGGGATTAAAGGATGCAGACTCAGAGATTTTACATACAGAAACATTAAAAGCATAACTGAATTTGACTTTATTATTATTATTTTTTAATCCTCACCCAAGGACACGTTTCCATTAATTTTTAGAAAGAGAGAAAGGGAGGGAGGGAGAGCCAGGGGTAGAGGTGGGGAAAGGGAGAAACATAGATGTGAAAAACATAGTTGTGAGAGAAAAATGTATCTATTGCCTCCAACATACCCCAATGGGGAATGAATCGCAACCAAGGCATGTGCCCTAAGAATCAAACTGGCAACACTTCTGTGCAGACTGCATTTCCAATTCTGCGGAGCAGCTCCATGGGCTACAGCTCCAATCAGATTTCTAAGGTAGCTGGGATTCAACAGGTCCAGGTCTGGGGAGTTCCTGGACTTCTTAGGCCTTTGGGATTAATCTTGACTTCTACTTCAATGGCTATGTTCCCCAAAACGTCCCCCAGCCAGCCAGTCTGAGCTTTGACCTCAGTCACTATCCCTGTGTTTTCTCTTCTTCCTTCCTTCCTTCCAGCTTGAGGACTTGTGTTCCTGCTTGGGCATCCCCTCTTTCAGCTGCCTCTACTGGATCCCCTCTGCCCCCATAGGTTGTCCTGACCTCAGGGGAGCTGCGTTGGTGATCCAGCACCTTCTGGACTCTGCCTTCTGACCCCTTTCTGAGTTCTTTCTCCAGTCCTTTTTAGAGCCAGCATTATGCTTTTCTTTTATTGTCTTTCTTCTGCGAGTTGAAGAGGAGGCTGGCTACTCCACCAGTACTTCCCCATTAGTCTTTTGTCTTTCTTCCTTCTTTTTTTTTTTTTTAAACTTTTTGTCTTTGTGTGTGTATTTAGTGGTTTTACCACCTGCATCCTGCAGAGTCCTCAGATGAATTCAGTGAGGGGTCTGAGCCCCACAGCCCTTATCTTGGAGCCCTGTGGTCACAGTATCTGTGTTTCTGAGTCCTTAGGAGCCCGATAGTCAGACACGTGATCCACTCGGATAGTTCTTCCTTTGATCTTGATCCCATTAAAATTGTCAACAGCCAGAATTGTGCTCCTCTGGTCTTCATAGCAGAGGAAACAGAATCCTTTGGATTTCCCAGTCTTCTTGTCCCGCACCAGATTAATGTTAACAATCTCCCCATACTGTGAGAACACACAGATGATGTCCCCTTCAGTCAGCTCAAAAGGAAGTCCTCCCATGAAGATCCAGGCGCTGTTCTTGTACTGGGAGTGCCAGGACACCTCATCCGCCACCCCGAGCTGGACCTCACGGTCATTCAGCTCACTGATCAGCTTGACTTTAGTTAAAGGGTTCATGTCCGCGGCCTGGGATTTCTTCAAGAATCTTTCTCTTTCAGGGCCGCAGAACCCACGCACTGGTTGCTCCCAAGCCCGCCAGCGTTCCTTAAGTGGGCTTGTGACTGCGGCTGAATAAACAGGAGCAGCGGGAAGCCAGATTGCCGTAAAACTCCTTCCTCCGGGCTGGCTACAGCTACCTTACCCTAGTCCGAAGCCTGCTGCGCTGCGCTGCTTGCTGGGAAGTTGAGTTTGGGCTCAGTTTGCCCGGGGCCAGAGAAACCAGAACTAGAACTACCTTTCCCATGAGACACTGCGGCATGGACCGGAAAGGTGGGTAATGGGCCCTGGGCTGTAATTACTGTTCCCGTACTTCATAGAAGCTCTCGGTCGCCCCCAAGCTGCAGGGAAATGTCATTTTTTTCATGCTGGGTAGGAGGTGGACTCATTCTTGGCAGGTATTCATTAGTTCTTGTAGGCATTTGACGTGTTTCTTGATCATCTGCTGTGTGCACGTTACTGTGCACTACGATGCCAGATTAAATACTCTACAAGCCCTGTGTTCAAATATTAATAGACCTTTTCCTCTTTAGAGGCTCCTAATCCAGTGTGGAACTAGGACCTGCAACGTCCTCCAGTCTCGGAGCGCAGGCGCAATGTGGCGCCCGCCCTGCGTACCTACCTCATTGTGGCGCCAGGGCCAGTTGGCTGGGGACTGCTGTGGGCTGGCGGCTGGCAGGGAGGCTTGGCTCTAGAGATCCACAAAACAACCTGCATTCTTTCTGTTTGGGTTCTCTTTAGTATTCGCCTAGTTCTTCTTGTGTTCACGCCAGCTACTTTCTTGCCTAACTTTATACCACTTTCCCCCCACCTCTTGACTATTTATGTTTGTGTTCTCTTCCCTGTTCGTAATTTATTTTTTACCACTTTGCTTTAATGTTTAGTGGATATTGAATATTCTGGTTCCTCCTTCCCTTATGTCATAAACTCTTTTGTCTTATATATACATGCTCATTGTTTAAATAGGTAGGACCATGGTGATAGTTATGTGAACAGTAGATTAGGGTCATGACTAACTCTATAAATGTGTGGATTTGGAAAAGGAATAGTAGCAGCAGTAGCTAAACCTTTATAACATTATTCTCAATGCTTTACATGTATTTGTTCATTATTCCTTAGTAGTACCTACCTTATGAGGTGGTTTCATCACTTCAAAGAGAAAAAAATTCTCTATGGTACAGAGGTTAAGTCACTTTCTCAACTGAAAACAAATAATTTCCTAAGCATCTTTGTGTACAATTAAACTGCCCTTACAATGACTTTCTATAACATTACTATAGAACAAAAGTTTCACCTAATGCTTAATGTAGTTAAGGGTTAGGTGTCAAAACTGAATCGCTAAAATAAACCAAAACTGCACAAGATGACATACATATCTACCTTGTTTAGCATTTCTACCTTGCTTAGCAGGAAACTAAGTGTCTTAGGAGAACAAGAGTCACTTCCTGTATCACAAAGTCCTATCTGCTTACCTGGCTCTTGTACACTGACTCAAGTGTCAAGTGTGGGTAACACAGAGCTCCTACTACTATGTGAATGGAAACTTTTGGCAAGATGACTGGTTAAGTGTCATGAGCTTAGTCATTACATGTTTGCATCAGACTAAGTGACCAAATAGACATTAAAAGGTAGAGTAAATGTCATAACTTGGAAGATATCTCCTTCTTGTTTCCTTTTTGTGTGTGGCTTAACTCCATCTAATTGATCTTTGGGCTATTTCAATAAAAAAAAACAGTTAGGGCCTGTTTCTTGTCATACATGATTAATGCATGCATGCACTTAATTTTTCTATTTAATAGTAAAATCTGAATCCATATTTAACAATATCTATCTGATTCAGTGAAGCAATCGGTACAGGTCTACTGATAAACGAGGTCTGATGTGGAAATCTTACTGTGATGTATTACAATAGCCAGTTTCTTCTGCTGACTTAACCAAGAAAGCATTCCAGCTGGCCTAGTGCCAGATAACTAAATCTCAACTACTCAGTTGTAGGTAGTTATCAACTTTTATAGGTGATGCATAGAAACTAACTTCCCAGAGTCTCCATTATAAGAGGTACTAGGATTTTGAACCCCAGGTCTCCTTCCAAAGCCAGTTACTAGTTCTGCACGCAGATGTGATGGGGTGGTTATGGAAGTGACTCCCTCATCCCCTGACTCATCTTACTGATTATTGCTTTTATTCTACTTCCTTATAAAAAGCTGGGTAACACCTTGCACTTTGTTTTTCCAATTAACTAACCCAGTTGTTTCACTCAGTGACCTGGTCTTCCTTCCTGGCTTGCTTTTTTCCACTCTTCCCACTTCTGTCCTGTTAAGATTGTTCTGTGTCTTTATATGGACTTTCAGCCCGTTGACCCTTTTACTGTATATCAGTATCCAGTGGTTGTCTTTATTTTCTTGTTAGTTTGTCTTTTTTCTCAAGTAAGAATCTTGTAGCTCTATTTGTTATGCCTTTCTTTTCTAATGCTCTTAGGATTTTACTTATAATTTGGGGGGATTCACAAACCCCTGATTCCCCTATGATTGCAAATGCCTGCTCCAGACACTGTGCTCTTGAGGTAGAGAGATTACCCAGGCAAAGAACCCATATTCCCTCCCAGCTTGCTGAGGAAATCCATTTTCCATGTGGTCTCATATCGTGTAGATCCTGAAATCTGGCTACCTGAATGCCAACAAGAAACTAAAGAACAAAATGAGCTGTGTTTTTACTTGGTTCCTAATTCACTTCAATGCCAATCCCAACCTTGGGGTACATGCTCCCTGGGACACTGTGGTCTGGAGGTAAAGAACATTATCAGCAGCAACTGGGGTGAGCCCTGGTGGAGCTCTTAGACTCTGCCAGCAGGTTAAGACATGGGGGTAAGCTCCAGAGTCCTGAAAGTTTCCTGCCTTGAAGAGCAATGAGGAGTAGAACATCCTATTGAAAGTAGGCAGGGTCCTAGGAGAAGGATATTACAGTGAAAGACGGGAAAGAAGGACCTGACAACCTTCCTGAAAATCTTTTCAGTAGTGTGTGTGTGTGTGTGTGTGTGTGTGTGTGTGTGTATGTGTGTGTGTGTAGGATGATGAACTCAGCTGTCTGGGTTCAAATGCTGACTGTTACTCATTAGCTGTGTGACCTTTGACAAGCCACTGAATCTCTTCAAGACTCCATTTCCTAGTGGATTAACAGTATCTTCCTCATGTGATGTTATGAGGATTCAATGGCAGGTGCTTATTAACTTGGGATACATTTACAGCTCAATAAATCGTTCTGTTTATAATCATTATTATTTTATTATTGCTTGGATCGTCCTCTCTCCCATGATTCGACATGAGGACAGAAACACCAGTCCCAGCTAGAGAGGATATGAGGGCGAGGAGGCACTTGATGATCTGGTAAACAAACCAGAAAAGCTCTCTGTGCGTTCTGCTCCTGACCCCTTCCTCTGCCTCACAGCTGCCAGTTAACATCTGAGTTCTACTTTCCTTCCTGTCTCTCCAAGGTAAAGATTCATATGGTTACACGTGTAGGGAAACCTAGCAGAGAGGGTCAAAGGACTTTGCCAGTCCTGGTCTGCTAAATCTTGCCAGATGAGTCTAAAGAGTTGACATTTTAAATGTCTTAAGATTCTGCCCATCTCATACAGCCTTTACATTGTTTTCTTGCTAACCCCTGTTCATTCCATAGGTCAATTAAGTTGTCCCAGAGAACTCCTGTGGCCATTCCCTGTCACCATATCTTTCCTGGTTCTTCTAGTCACTGTGTTATTTGAAATGGAATAAAGGATGGGAAGGTAAAATCCCTTTTTTTCTCACTCCAATGGGAAACCACCTTGGCTGTACTGTTTAAAGCTCTTTGTAATTTTAATCCTGTAATATAGTTTAACCTGTTGTCTATGCCTTGGAAACCAACAACAACAATAACAACAAAACCCCCAAACAAACAAAAAAGCCCACATCAATTGGGCAAAGAAGAGCATAAGCCATCTGCTCAGCCTTGTGCCCACCATGGAGAGAGTTGTTCTCAGGATTAAAGTTCCCACATGGAGGCCACAGTACAGAAGCATAAGAAAAGCCCCAAGGACTGGACTGAGGGCCTAGACTTATCCAGAGACAATAGTGGGGTGGGATCCAGTGAAGTGAAGTGGGTGATGTGTTCCACAGAATAAGTAAGCAGGGGAGTGCGAGTAGTTTTTATTCCACACTAAAGAGAGAAGTGGGTCTCTGAGGACCACCTGGAACAAGGTAGAGGCTCTTGAGAAAGATAGACAAGGCTTCCTAAGCATGTTGTGCCTTTTTGCTGACCTGTTCTATACCTGAAGTCCATGGTAGGTCCTGGGTCTAGAGAACCTCCACCTGGGAGTGTGTGGGATTCCCAGAGACTGAATTCCACTTGGACAGGGAAGGCCAGTGCCCAATGGGTTGGAGCCAAGATTCTCTCATTTAATAGTACACATTCAGGTGGCCATCAGTGATCTTGATGAACTTCAGTGATCCTGCCTGTGACTATGACACTGGGTCAGAGATAGTGGCACCATGGGGGCTCATTTTAAAATGTCACCAGGAAGCTATTCTCCAGGCCCAACCTCAGGTTAACTGAAGAGCCCACTTAGCTTCTTCCTCTTGACCTTTGACAGCCGAGAGCTCTGCCCAGGGCCTGAAGTGTCTGTGGGAGGGATGGTGCTGAGGAAACCGGCTCTTCTGGCTGGTTCAGAAGTTGGCTATGGGTTCCTTGTGGGGAGGGACTACTTGAGATCTGAGGATTTCCAGCATCTTGATGCTTCTGCTTCACTTGGGTCTCTAGTCTGGTGACTGCCGCATACAGAATCTGTAGATTCATGACAAAGGGCCTTCTGTCCCAAACACTGCATGCCTCTGGTATTTTTTTGTGGGATTCGGAATGACTTAATTTCTCTGAGTGAATCTATCATGTCTCCTCAGCCTGAAGTGGCCTTTCCTCAGAAGCTTCTGTCTGGTTTCTTTTCCTGATTGCAGATCCCTGAGGTTACCGAGGTGATAAAAAGAAAAAAAAAGAAGCAGAAGTAAAACTTGGCCTATTTCTTTTCCTGCCATTCTTCAGCAAGGGCGGAACCCAGAGGTTCACATTCCCTTCCTCATGGAACTCCCTTGTCCTCTAAATTCTTGGCTTTGTTATGCCTTTCTAATAAACCTGAACCCTGCATGAATCAAGTATCTTCTGTGTTTTAATATTGGAAAGGTAGAGCTTGGATAAATTAAGAAAGACCTAATAAAGAATTGGGTAATATTAATTAGGTAACTATTAAAGAATTAATAAGGTGGATTCATGCCTTAAACTCATTATTGACTTTGGATTCTTCCAACTGCCAAACATTAGCAGAAAGGAGGGAGGGAAGAAGCCAGAAAAACAGTGTTTGGGGCAGTCTTAAGCTTAGATTTCTATAAAACAAAAACGAAAAAAACAGGTAACTTTTTTCATAACAAACACTTCCCCTTGCCTTCAAAGATTATAAGTAAGTTGGTAGAGCATGCATTAATAACCACAAATTGGTGTAGCATGAGTTGAAATTTGGGTTTTGACCTTATACTCACCAATTCTGCCACATGACACTCACCAATATGGAGTGGCTCATTGGATTGAATGCCGGCCTGCCAACCAAAAGGCTACAGGTTCGATTCCCAGACAGAGCCTGGGTTGCAGCCCAGGTTCCTCAGTTGGGGGCATGCGAGAGGCAGCCAATTGATGTAGCTCTCGCACATTGATGTTTCTCTCCTCTTTCTCCCTCCCTTCCCCTCTCTCTAAAAAGTAAATAAATAAAATTTTTTAAAAAGTCACCTCAGTAATTTAAGTAGCTGCCATATTCTAAGATGGGTTCCTCCCATTGACTTCCTTCTTTCTGAATCAGCCTCTGGTGTGTGTCAGAGGCTAAGTGCTGGGACTGCGTCTCTATCAGCCGGGACACAGAGCCCTTGGGGTGCTGACACTCAAGTAACGGGGAGCCCCACAAGGCAGTTGGAGACGTCAGGCCTTGAAGCAGACCAAGCTTCCCCACTGTGTCCTCAGGAGGACGGCTCGGGTGACTGTTTGTAACCAGTTCTGTAACCTCCGGAAGACTGTCTGAAACTGAGAGCAAGGATCCTCTAGTGGACTTCACCAAAAATGCTTCTCTTGACTCAGAGACGGAGAGTAGATGACAGCCAGTGGTGGTGGTCGGGAGGGGAGGGGCGGAGGGACTGAGCAAAAAGGAAAGAGGACTCGTGGACATGGACAGCAGTGTGCTGATTGCTGGGGGTTGGGGGGATAAGGGGGATAAATGATAATGGAAAAAATACAATAAAGATTAAATTTAAAAAGGAAACAAACTATGCTATATGTAATTAGAAAATGTGTCAACATATAATGGGTTTTATTCTGAAATGAATTTTAAAATATTTTAAAATAAAATAAAAATGTTTTCCTTTATCTACCTCAGTGTGGTAAAGCAAATCCCTGTAAAAGTGGCAATATCTATACGTTCAGGCCCAACATTTCAGGCAAATGGTCATGGTTTTTCAACTTAAAGCTTTCCTCTTTTTCTACAGTTGCTAAGCGCCCCCTGCTGGAAGCTGTGTTTAAAGCTCTAATTGGTGCTTGTGCCCTAAAATGCTCAACCAGGAGACCCTGCTTCGAAATCGTGAGGCCACGGCATCGGGCCCGCACGAGGTCATGTCCCCGCGGCCTTTACTCTGACATGCATTTACCACAGCTCCACTGTTGGGGCTGCTTCTTGTCTGGGCTTTTACCCAGGCTGATGCTTCTGAAGTTGGTGTTGATCAACACTCTCTCTCTACTCCTCCCACCAAAGGCTACTTGCTTTGTTTTCATTTGCTCAGGATATTTGAAAATGAATAGAACAGGAAATTTTGAGTTGGTGGGTCCCTGAACTGGCTTCTGATTGGTCTAGAAAACACACCGTTGACCCCCAAGCATACTTCCCCATTTTTTGGTGCAAGTTATAGGGTTTGAGGGTAACGAAGTGACAAAAGTGAAACAGTTAACTCTCCAGACAGTAACCATGTTTGTCAAATGCATTTACGAGGCTGGGGCAGCCCAGACTGGTGCACCTCAGACTGTCTGGTGCAGGGCCAGCTCGTTTCTGAGCTGTCGTGGGCTGACCAACATCTTATAAAATGCAGGTGAATGAATTATCAAAAAAACAAGAGACAAATTCTATTAGACTTAATAGACATAAAACATAGACAATATGTTTTGATCAACATACTCAGAAGAAAAGGGAAGAACTATCGTATATTCATTAAAATAATAATGAATACTAAAAGTATTATCATTGCAGAATGATAGGTTAGTGTCATCAAGAATTATGGTAATTGCACTAAATGTTCTTATGCAGAATGAAAACTGTGCATTAGTACTTTAAGCACTCAGTTCTTAATGTGACAAATTTGCTTCTTAATTTATCGAATCTGGATCGGACTGGCAGCAATGTTATTCACAGGGGACAATATAACTGAAGTACCCTGTTTCATTTCAGTATGGAGACTGGTTTCATAGAGGCACGTTGGTCAGAATAGAAGAAGACTTTAAAGCCATCACAGCAGGCTCTGGAGATACTTAACTTAGCCAAAATAAATCAAAGGATGCTATATTTTAAAAACTCAACCTTCAACCCTTTATTGCTAACCAGTTATGGTTAAAGCTAAGGCTATCTTTCTGCAAAATAAATGGATTCTAGGTCTGAATATTCTATGAATGGATCTCTTGATGGAAAGCAAAATTCAACATGTTCTACTTTATAAGGTCTTTGATTGTTTTGTAGATGTGTGATAATCAAGAATCCCTACCTCACTTATAATTTTCAAATTATGTAATATAATAACCTCATTGGCTCAAGCGTGTAACTTTTGCCTTTTCTCCTGTCTTACCTGTAACTTCATACCCATATTGATGTTTAGAAGCTTTTCAAAGCTGTTGGTGTGGGTTGGAGTGCAGAGAGCATGTAGAAGTCCTTTATCTGCTCATCCACTTAGATCGTTCTATCAATACATTATTGCCCAACCCTGGAGAAAGGTTGGTTATACATAAATGATGTCAGCTATTTGGAGCTATAGCTTTTGGAGTCTTATGTGGCTGAGGAAGGACTAAAATTTAAATGGGAACCTTAAAATTGTTGGAGAACTAAATTGCCAAGATTTCACTATGGCAAGCTTCAAAAGTGGCTAAATCCTAGAGATTGCTACACTTGGGACACCACGCCTCCAGATTCCCGTAAGAGCCTGCGCCATCGCATGCTTGAAGAGTTCCAGCCACCTCCTCTTTCTCTCGTGATATCCTCCTGGTCTGCCCTCTGTTCTTTGACAATGCAATTGGTTCTTGCTTAATTAATACAGCTTGATACATAGACATGGTTTCAAGCCATAAGTGAGTTCCATGCAGACCAGGCCATCATCCCTTCAGGCCATCCTATATAGGGATTCTGGAGGAGCTGCTTTTCCATGGACTAGTCTGCGCTTTGCGGGGAGGTGACATAATTTAGACATCAGAACGAACGCAGACTTGGCAGCCTGGTCTGAGCTGGAGTTCTAGACCTTCTATCTTCTGACTATATAACCTGTTGGTGAACGAGTTCCTCCCTCCAAGTCCTGGTGTGTGGTTAGAAATATTACCAGGATTGTTGGAACCAAACAAAGTACACAGAAGACATTCTGTATAGGAGAAGGAAATTGTTGATGGCTCCAGTTATTTTTTTGGCCTGATACAGGACTTAGTCTGCTACTATAGTTGTCTAAGATAAAGTTCATCAGTAAAGGGAATGGCAGTAGAAAGAGTTGGTGAAGCCAGAGCCTGCACAAAGGGGGTGTTTAAAACACGTTGCTCACCAAACTGAAGCACTGAGTCTCCCATAACAAAGTAGTCTAGTACAACACTTTTTAATCGTGCTGCACATGGGAAATATTTGTTTAACATGCACTGGAGGGGATGTGAAAAGCTAGATAAGGCTGCTCATGGCTGCGAGCCCCAGTGCGCCTGAGGAGTGAGAGATCTGTGTCATATCCATCAATGTAACCCACCGTGTGAAGCTTCACAGGTGGAAAGCTCTGCTCAAGGGTCTGGTCTATGTGAGAAAATGTCCCTGGAGGTGAAAAAAACTTGCTAGGATAAGCAGCATACTTTAGATCATATCCTGTGCACCAAAGAAATTTGGAGGTCAAAGTCATTCTTCTTTTTTTTTTGGTAAAGATTTTATTTCTTTACTATTTTAGAGAGAGGGGAAGGGAAGGGGAAAGAGAAGGAGAGAAACATCAGTGTGCAAGGTTGCCTCTAACATGTTCCTCACTGGCCACCTGGCCCACAACCCCCAGGCATGTGCCCTGACTGGGAATTGAACTGGGGACCTTCCAGTTTGCAGGCCGGCACTCAGTCCACTGAGTCACACCAGTCCGGGCAAAGTCATTCTTCTTAAACATGAATAATCATTACTAATGGGAAGGCATGGTGGGGCAGAAAAGCCTCACTTTGTGAAGTCCCTTAGGCTGACTCAGGATCGAGAGCCACTTCTGTTTCTTATGACTTCCTGGGCCCACGGTGACCACTTAGCATCGTCAGATCTGCTGCTGCTCCTGGGCTGAACTTTCGTTTGCTTATATTCTGAGGTCCTGGGTTGAACACCAGTCCCAAGAACTTGATCCTTTCTTAAGTGCGTTTCCAGGGCTGTGGCACCGCGCTGTGCATGCGATTTATCCAGGAACGAGGCTGTCTCTGCGGCAGAGCCTCCCTGTGCAGTATCCACACCGTGGCCAACCCTGGAATAGCCAGTCAGTCTCTGAACTCTGCCACGAATCAGTTCTGACCTGGGGAGGTAGCTTCTTCTGAGGTTCACCTTGGTCATTCTATAAAATAAGGATAAAGGGTGGTATTAGCTCTAAATTCTCAACTACTCAAAATTGGACTGATGTTGGAGTTTCTTTTGGTGTGACTGAAGGTCAGGGAAATGGAAACATGACATAGTAACGGTCTTTACCTTGTCATGCACCACCTTGATATAATAGAGTCATGCCTCAGTAATTCCGTGTGGCTCAGAGGTCTCTGATCCAGCAGTGGCTGTGCATTGTGAGACGCATGCCCAGACAGGAGCTCGGGGACTTCTTTCTTGTGTCTTCCTGTACAAGACAGCTATGACTGGATCTCTTTTGTAT